GTTATTAACTGCTTTTGTAAGGAAATGTTAATGTTAACATTATAAGAAATGTGGCCTTCAGAGGTCAAGGTTATGTGCAAGAAATCCATTAGTTGCAGTAGCTTTACCTCCATCTAGTTATTAAAAATAAGATTCCATCTTAAAGGTTTATGATCACAAATCAAATAACATATCTGGTGCTGTAACCCCAGTTTAGGCTGCAACCTTTGACTTGATATACTGTAGTGTGAGCAGTCGAACTGAAAAGAACCTGCAGATTTAGAACATAAGTACATAAGTACATAAAAACATGAGAGAGCTAGAAACGTGACATGACTGATTGGCTTATCTTGATCTAAGGTTGTCTGATAGATTTTGATAGGAAGCTGCCTCCTAAGGTGGGAGGAATAAGGGATAATTGCACAGGGGTGTCATGGTGCTGACCAGCTAGTGATATTGTCAGAGTACTGTATGTTTATTGAAGTTCATGTCAGAATGTTTTTAGAGCAGGCCAGAATGGCTCCATGGCAATTTTCCCTACAACAATTCATCCCAGAAAATTGGTCCTGGCAACAATTGATCCCAGTGATAATTCACTCCCCTGATTAATTGTCCTGGCAACAATGCATCCTAGTGATAATTGGTTTCCACTATAATTCATCCGAGTGACAATTCCTCTCTCCACAACAATTTGTCCCTATAACAATTCATCCCGGTGATCGTTTCTTCCCACAGCATTTCATCGTAGTGGCAGTTCTTCCCCACCACAATTCACAGCAGCGTCAATTTTCCAAGTGACAATTCCTCCCCACAGCAATTTGTTCTTGTGACGTTTTGTCCTGTTTATAATTGTTCCCAGAACATTTCATACTGGTGACATCTTCTGTCTCTATTTTTTTTCTTCTGTTGTCACCAGCCTTCTCTTTTTCAATTAAGAAAGGGATAGTATTCCATTACAGACTGGCTAAGCTTGTGTGTACGTCTGTATCATTGCCAAATATCTTTAAATTATAGGTAATGTTTTTCACATCAATATTGTCGCAGCTCATCTGAGATCAAGATGGTGCCCAATTTCCTCCCATGCCTCATGGAAAGTGTGATTGAGCTTAACAGAATTAACCTACCAGGTTGTGACAGCTGTAATTTTTTTAAACATTTTGTGTCATCATACATGAATATACTATGAACATATCACCATATGGTGCCAGAGCACAATAATGTGCTCTGTACTGTGCACCCGGCTGTGTTGTAATAGATTTAATACAAATGTCTTAAAATATTATATGAAACTGTAACTATATGTGTTGTGTAATGTTGTGTTATATAACGTTCGGTATTAATCTGCTCATAGTTAAATCATCTCAGATCTTGAATTGCTCAGGTTGAGGATAATTTGCTTGTGACCATTAATGACTTTTCTGCAAATGCTGAAGGTATTTGTTGTGATTGTGTACTGTAGTGATATGAAACTCACACTCTAAATTGATTTTAAGGATGTACTTATTGTCAGGTTACGGGAGGAACTGATGGACAGATCATTGAGCCAGAAAACCATTTTATATTTCTGTCTTGATGTGTGAATATGTTTAGTGCTCAGAAGCCAAACAATACTCATGCACCTCAGGCAGCTACAGTATGTTTTACATCAGATGGTGATTTTGCCTCCTTAAGGCTGAAATGCTTGTTTAACTTACAGTATTTCCACTCCAAATGAGACCCACATTTTTTAAAAGAAAAGCAATAACTGGCACAATAATTTGTTTAAATGTACATTTTTCAGCTCCTGAAAAGCTGGGGAATTATATTTGCTTATAACCTTCCTCTGAATCAGAAATAACGTAATCAGAAGTCCCTAAAAGGACACAGAAATAAAAGACTAGCTCTGCAGTTGCAGTGTCACCTGCATAAAACTAAACATTAAAATAAGCAGAGAATGAATGGAACTTCATCACTAATTTCACTTATTGTTTTCTTTAACTCTTGTCTCTTAATCTTGTCTGCTAAATCAGTGGCTAATTCTCAATACAGGTTTTTATCTCCTTTTAAAACTAATGCTGCAAAATGAATTGAAATTGTACCTAAACCTTTTCTGGTTTTTGGCCACTTCCACCCCCCCCCATTTAAGAACTGTACGATGCAAAACTTACATTTTCCAGAAAATCATGTGAATCATTACCAGTCCGCAAAGATTTTTAGACACCTTCTAGAAAGGCAGAATTACAGCTTGGTGTACCACGCTCGGGCTGTTTCTGTCAAAGCCTAGTTAAATATTTACTAAGTCAACACAGGATGCTGTGTCTTAGGCCTTTTAGCACAGAAAACAAAGAACAGACCCAGCTGTTTGGCATTTCAGTAAATGCATTTAATTTCCTAACATCACCAAGTTGACAAAATGAGAATTCAGATTGTACTTTTCACCTCAATTTCTTAGGTACTGCATTAAGACATTCTATTTTTTATAAATGCCCTTGAAAAAGAACATTTTATAAATCTGTTTACGGTGAACTACATACTAAACATACACAAATAAAGTTGTTTTCTGTAAATTGTGAGAAAAGTTCTCATTTCCTCACATATTTAAGTTTTCCTTTAAATTTTCTTTCTGCAAACACCCACTATTTATGAAAGTGCTGTATTTGTTCTTTGACTTCTCTAAGTTAATGCAAAAATAAAAATATGCTGTCAAACATTAATTTAAGCACTATAAATTAAGACATCTTAAAAATAATTTTATAAGAAAAACTTATCTTAAATTGTGCCTTGTTCCTTCAACGTTTGCATTCCAGCAATTGTAGGCTTTTTCTTTTCGACTAAACCTGAAGGATTTAAAATATACTTCACAGCCCAGTTCTCAATTGATTCTCTTACCTCGGATTACCCTATTCTGTGTTTGTTAAAAAAAGACAAGATCAGTTCAAGAATTTCCCCTTGTAGGTTCTCAGAAAAACTGGGTAAGAAAGCAAACAGTACCCAAGTCTACCATTTCTACCATTTTCTGCTGCTGACTTTGCTATAGGTTTGTCTCCAGTCTGTTGACTGAGTTGAACTTTGTTGGCAAAGTTGAAGTCTCCCATAAACCTTACTTCTTTATTTTCACCTAAATTCTTAATACCAATATATGGTGTTGAATTATAATCTACATATGTATTCATACATGCAGCATATGACACTACACCTGACACTATCTTTCCTGTCTCTCCAGAACAGTACATTTCCATTATTTTCATTCCCATTGTTAAGCTCACTTTCTGTGATTCCAATGACATTTAGTGTAGATCTTAGTGTAGTAGGAGAAGATGAACGAGTAAAGGTTTATTCCCTACTGAAAAGAGAAGAAAAGAAACACAAGGTTCCGGCTGAGGGTGTGAAAGAGAGAGGGAAGTCGGAGTAGGAGAAAACAGAGTAACCATAGGCAGCAGTTACAGGGAAGGCTGTAAATATCATACAGTACGCAGTGCAACAATGTGGTTCTCGGAGCCGCAGTGAACGCTGGTTTGAGTCGATGTCTCCATGAGATAGGCAGAGACACTGGTGGGAGATTAGCGTGACAGGCGACCGCTAATGCTATTCAGACACCAAGAGAGAGAAAAAAGAAAAAAGAAATCCGTGAAGAAAAAGAAAAGAGTGAAGGAAAAGAAAGAAAGAAAAACAATGCGCTGCGCAAACGTGGAGAAAAACGCCTGAGCCCTTGGTGAAAATCATGCTAAACACCCGTGCAGCCGCATGAGGAATTCTTACAGCTGAGCCGAAATCGGACTCAGCTGCAGTCGCTAATGCAAGTGTCACATTCTCACGCAGCACTGGAAGAGTAAAAAGTAATAATGGTGGGCTTACAACGGAGCTTTTAGGGAAAGAAATGTCTCGCTGTGGCATTTTCAGAGATTACTGACTCCACCCACTTCTGAACCTTGTTTGAGAAGACCCACAGTACATACAGAGTGGAGAAAATTGGAGGATTGATGAGCACAGGATAGCCAGGAGCCTGCTCCCTTCAGTAAATAGGAGGCAGTGCTAAAGGGAGATTCCATTATTAGAGGTTTAGACAGTAAACAGTTAATAGCAATCTCATGAGGCGTGTTGCCTACCTGGTGTCCAATGCGTAGACAGCCTCCTGGCAAGAACTAGGATGGATCCAGTTGTTGTTGTCTGTGTTGGAGCAGCTGACTTGTAGAAAGAAATGACTGCAGGACACGTCTATGAATGTGTCTTGTAAACTTCAGTTGTCTTATCAGGAATTATATTGGTGCAGCATGCAAGAGCAGGTACGAAGATTTAACAAGTGGCGATAATGTTGGAAGAGATATCAGGGGTTTGGTGTATTTGTCTTTAGAAATCCATATAAGATATATAACTTGTATACAGATGAGAGTTACTTGTGAATTAGGAAGTCACCAATATACAGTATCTGATTAATATATGCAGAGGATATGAGGAATATTTTAACAGAAGAAGTGCTGTAGAGTTTACAGTGTTAACTTTTTCTTAATAGATACTCTATCATGTGTTTTATTTGTATGCCATGCTGTCTGATGGCAAGCTCTCATATTTTTTATTAAAAAAACAGCTAATGCCATTTGTGTCATAGTGTCTGAAGATTATTTGTGTGAAATAGTTTATTTTACTCCAAATGCTCCAAGTTTGGGTGTTGAGCCTCAAGTTGTGTGAAGTTTAGTTGCTCAGCAATCAATTTTTGGATTCACAAGAGGATCTGAAGTGCTTTTGTAATTCATTGTACCCAAATGAATTTGTTTAGTTTTGTCAAATATTCAAAAGCTTATCACACTAGTAGTGGTATCTCTGCTTGGGATTACACATACAGTATATACAAAATGCTATGCCATCACCATGCAAGTGTTTGAAGCCGATAATAATTAGGAATTATTACTTACATGAATAAACATGATGCAGTTTATTTTTTCTATCAAGAGGGGATCAGTCTTTTTGCAAAAAAATCGTACAAAAACTCTTCTAATTAGCCATCTGTCTGTATACAAATTAATTAACTTTTGCTTGCTTTTCAGATGTTAATGAATGTGAAAACGATCCCTGTAAAAATGGAGGGATTTGCACAGACATGGTTGCCAACTACTCCTGTGAATGCCCTGGAGAATTCATGGGAAGGAACTGTCAGTATAGTGAGTATCCTGATCCTTTTTACTGCTGTTCATATTGGAAGTGATGCCGTAGTGAGATTCACGCCATATCAGAGCGGCAAGCTGAAACTTCTAGTCAAGAGAGGAAGTGATTTTCTACTGTCATCTGACTATGACAAAGGTCCCAGATTACAACAGCTTTGGCTTCTACTCCTCATGTGCTAGCTAGGAGAATTGTCATCAAATGTGTTTGATGAGTACCTCAGGGTATCAGCTTTAATAATATGGTTACGCAGTTTCTTGCCAAACGCCTCACATATTTATGAGTAAACTAATTTTGCACATGTTGACATGTGTGTCCTTGGGTCCTGGAGTTTTTGAATGAGCCTGAAGTTGCTATTTGGGCTGCGTGGGTGATGCCATTCATTTTCAGGTTTTTGAATACTGATCTGTGAAATAAGTATTTTTCATTCATTTATAATGGCTATTCCAGTTAGCACTGTTTATATGGGAGCAGTGGTTAGAATTCTGGGTAGCTGTAAGTTCAAATCCCAGGTGAGAGACTGCTGTTGTATCCTTGAGTAACATACTGTACTTCACTCAGAATGCTCCAGTAAGATACCCATCTGTATGAACGAGTACATACGTACGTACTGTAAGTTACTTTGGATGAATGAATTAGCCAAATAAGAAAGCTATCATAATTATAATTCTATCACACATAGTCTTTGATGAATAGAATTAACTACTGTAGACAGGATATTCCAAGATGTAAACAAGAGTACATGACATGGTATTTTTATTTTATAAAATCTATTTTATTTTATCTATTGATAAAGTAAATTATGAAAGATTAAATCTCACATTGCAGACAATAAGCATTCAATGTATTGCATTTCTTTGGACAGAGAACTAGTGATAAGGGGTGAATGCTCAAGTTGGGATGACATGCTGTCATTATAGGACTACCATCGAAAAAGGACGTTGTTGCTCTGAAATCAGTCCAGAGAAACTTTGATCAATGGCTTGATTTCATTTGTGACCTTATGTGCTTATTATCAAAAATAATAAAATGTTAAGGTAACATAAATTATTTAATTTTGCTTCCGATAGTGCAGACATCTAGATATAAGAAGAATTCAGATAGAACTAAAATTAAGGAGGTCCTTGGAATTTGTTAAAAGCGGAAGCAATTCAGTAATCTCACAGACATAGACTACGGAAGCAAATAAATATTGTATGTTTTAGCAGGAGATGTAGTTTTGTGCATTATTTGTCAAAAATGAGCCAGTAAGAAATAAGACAAGCTGTTTTCCCTAAACTTTCCCTAAAACATTCACAATAAATAATAATATTAAATTTTTAATAATAAAAGAAACCGCAAAACCTAAGAATGATTACTCAAACTGCTGTGTGGCAACTGTTGAATAGTTGAAAATAAATGCTTTTATTTTAATGAACCTTCTGTTTTGAAAGAGAGTGCTGTATTAATGATATTGGTATTAAGATGTTTAGATGTTTCAGGTAAGCCCCCAGTTTTTTTCATTTTTGCATGTTTTCACTTCACAGAAAAGTAGATTTCAGATTAAGGCTGTTAATATCGTGTCAGTTCTAGCAAACATGCCCGATTCGCACATGATTAAAAAGACAGAGGGCGCCAGAGTTTGAAATTACACAGGAGATCCCGATATCCTGTAAGAGAAGCGGAGGACATCTGTGAAAATTATGACGGACTTAAAGAAATGCATGATTCACTTAGGGTCAAATTTCAACAGTCAATAAAAATTCCAAAATTCTAACATCTCACCATTTTAATGTGATGAGTTAAAAGCCAGATTAACACAAAACTCTTGTCTACAGAAGCTTAGAATACCAGGCGATTCCTTATTTTTGCAATACAGAGATAAAATACCATGAGGGCAAAGGAAAGCAATTACACAGATATTTTGTTATTCATGCTGAATGGCAGTTACACACAAGTTCTATTTTTTACTCTTTAAAGTGCTCCATTGTTACAGCCTTGGCTTGCACCTGAAAAAAGGCAAGTAAACATTTTATAAACAAATTAATTTGCGCATCAATCTTCATGAACTGCTCAGTATCGACCATTCAGCAATGTTCCTTCAGAACAAGACAGCTGTCACTGGGAGATGAAGGAATTCTCAAAACTGATTGTGCTGCCATTTTCCACTGTCTCAAATTTGATTGTAATTGCTGTATACAACAAAAAGTTCATTATATTGAATTTCATGCTGGCAGTTCAATTAGGCGCCTGTGACCCTTGAGACGTGGTCAGAGAAACTCCACTAAATACTATTTCCACCGATAGTTATCACACTCTCGTGCAAGCAGTTCGGCTTGTGAAACTCTGATCAACACATTGAAAGTTCATCAGCAAATTTCTGTTCAAGGCAAATTAAATAGTGCATAAATTCCCTCAGATTAGTCCCTTGGTATTCCCATAAACAGTACAAACTTACCCCAATATTTCTCTCATCATAATTGAATTTCATAATCCCTAATTTCTGAACTATGGGGGAGTGGGTGAGCTAGTATTTTAAATTTTAGAGCTTTACATTGCTTTAATCCATACATACTGTGTGTCCATTACAGTGTTTACCAAGATTATATTTATCTTATTCTCAGAAGTCATCTATTATATGGTTTGTTATATGTTGCATGTCATTTATAAGGAAGTATGTTTGCACACAAACAAGAAAAGGTTTTTAAACCACAGAATATTTTTTGTTGTTTCTTATAATCCAGTTCATTCATGTTATGATTGTCATCACAGACCATGATTAATAGTTCAATTAAAGATTAAGATTACAGTGTGATGTATTTTGATGTTTCTAAGCAGATTTCATTATACAATTAGGGAAACTTTGTGTTATATGCTTTCCTTCATTCATGCTTCATTGTGCATGAACACAATAATATTACATATGGGTGGCATGGGCTCTGGCCTTAATTTATAATTGGGGTAATGTGTTTGCCTTGGTTTTCTCAGGTGTTCTGGTTTCGTGCTGCCTTCCAAAGTTATACTGCCTGGATTCATCAGTCTAAATTCCTTGTGCGTGTTGGTATGCCTGCAATTGCCTGGTGTCCAGTCCAGGGTGCCATGCTTTTTGCCCTAAATTTGTGGGATAGACTCCAGTTTCTGCAAATTTTTCCAGAAAAAACTAGAAGTGATAATGGATAAGTTACATAATTCTGTTCCAAACATTTTTAGATAGAGCTTTCATACCTAGATATACATACCTGAGATAAAATGTCAACTGTGGCTTAATTTCAGTTCATTTTGGCTGGTGTGAAGTGTCCAAATATTGGTTTTGGTATGTGACAGGCCTAAAATTCACCTGCAAGCTGTCTAAGTTCTTTGTTTCTGGAGATAGCAACATAGTCTAAAGGCTTAAATCTTTGAGCCCCATAGTATAAAATGAGACTATAGTTGTATTCTGCAGGACTTGAGGGAAATCAAACTCCTTCCAGCATGAAACCATTCCTTTAGTTTAGCAGTTTCAGTACATAAGGTTGTGTGGTCCATACGGTCAGAGATGCTTCTGATATGGTGGTTGAAATCCAAGGTCCAATCAGACATGATATACCTGTACCCAAAATATTGATCAATATTTTTTTTACTTTCTGGGCTAGTGTCCTCCAAATCTATTCAGTTCTTAATTTGTACTTCACATGAAATTTCTAATAACTATTTTAATTGTAGAATGTTTTATATTAACTTGTCCTGAATTGATTGATGACATTTTTGTTAAACTCTGAGGTAATTTACATCTAAAATAAGACTGTGGAATTGAAGTTGATTGTCCTCACCACAGCACTCAGGATTTGTAATAGCTTTACAGAACTAAGTAATCTTGGCTCATAATGAATGCACATATAAGCTTTTACCTTGAAGGCAGTAACAACATTTATAACAAGGTTTAGGATTATTTAAAAGCATTTTGAATAATTCTTAGTTAATGCTGAATTTCTTAAAGGCACTTAATAATAAATGGCACCTCACTTCAAAGAAGTGCCTAACTTATTTTTTTTTTGCAGCTGGAATAGGGTATTTTACTTTCGCTGCTGTTCAAAAGGGTACCTATTGAAACCTTGAAAAATGAATACATACTGTATATTTCTAAGCAAAACTCTTAGACATTTTAGATTCAATACAGCAGCTGAAATATGTGCATGTTGTATGTTCTCAAGACCTTGGCTAATGTTTTCTACTATTATAACAGTATTGGCTGTTATTAATATAATTGTGTGTGGTTGAGAAGAAACCAAGTTTATAATCTTGACTTCACATCAATAAAAATCCTAAAAAAAAACATGATCACAACAATTCAAGGTCCCCTATATATGAACAAAGAAGTTTTATAAGAAGCAGTCCATCACATTTATAATCCAAATCTAATTGACACATATGGGGGAACCGAAGCCTATACTGGCAAGCAACAGGTTCAAGGCAGAATACACCCTAGAGGAGACACCAGTACATCACAGGGCAGACACATACATGCAAACACTGACACTAGAGCCAATTTTCACACTAGAGCAGCAGTTCCAACATGTGCCAATGTGCCGCCCCTTAGAACGTTATCTGAACATTTAGTTCTGCATGTAGACAGGAAGGCATGGAGAGAGAAGAGTACAGCATTGAAAAATGCATGATGTCTTAGCACAACTGTGCATACATTTGTATGATTTAATTATTAAACAGCAGCACGGTGATAAGCAGTGGTAAGTATTGCTGCCTAACAGGACTGCGGCCCTGGGTTCAATCCCATATATTTGAAAATCTTAATTCATAATAATAACTAATAATTAATAATTGCTTACACTTATATAGCGCTTTTCTGGACAATCCACTCAAAGCGCTTTACAGGTAAAGGGGGCTCCCCTCCACCACCACCAATGTGCAGCCCCACCTGGATGATGCAACGGCAGCCATAGTGCGCCAGAACGCTCACCACACAGCAAATCACAGTGGGGAGGAGAGCAGAGTAATGTAGCCAATTCATAGAGGGGAATTATTA